GATCCACCCCCAGACAACGCCGCAGTCCGCACCACATCGCATAGTGCCCCTGGTAAAGACGCGGCGGCTCACGGTTCGCGGACCTGGGAATCTCGGAGCCAGAAAGGCTGTGAGGCTCCGTCGGATACTGTCCGCCGTTTCAATGGCAACTCCACGTCTCCCGTAACGGAACCCACCCGGCCGCTCACAAGGCCGGGTTTCCCATACCTGAACAGGTCCTTTTCCTTCGCCTCGCACACATGAGCCGCCACAGGACAACCACTAGTCGGCCTTGTTTTGACATATCGAACGCTCCCCGGACCATGGTGCCTCCGTTCAACCTCCAAGGCAGCGGCAAGCTCATGACTCTCTGCGCTCTCTAACCACCACCACAAACACCACCATCGTATGCGTACCCAAGTTGTAACGCATTGGAGGTCGGCGGGACGTCCTAGACACGACACGGGACACGGATTCCCGCACCTCGACCCAGTATCTAGACGGAACTACCCAGGCAATCCGGCCCGATTTTAGATACCACGCGGCCATCAAAAACTTCAGACTCGTGGTACACAACGTTTAGATCGACCATCGTGCTCATGGCAAAACCCCCTGCCCTCCCCCGAACTCCGGAACAGGCCGCAAACAAACCAACAAAGGCAGCCAGGGCAGATCCCAATGCGCCGCGCTGCCGTCAACTCTAACCTGGTTTGCCCACAAAAAATTCAAAACGGCACGATGCAAGGTCGTACACAAATACAACGTCGTTGCAGCAAATTCTCGACTAAGACGGCATCCAGGGCGATCATGTTCCAACAAAAGACGTGGAAGGAAAGTTGATTTGCCAGGCACAGTATACTATCATGCAGCAAGTTGAGACTCTGATCGAGTCACGGATATGTCACAATTACGAAGCATCCGTTGACTCCATCAGGTACGCGTACAATACCTCGGACCGCGCATGTCTTATCACTTGTCTGGTCTGCGCTCTGGTGACCGCCGCTATTGTTCGACTCAGGTGGTCAGAATCGAATTGTCACACGCTCGTCCGCGTCGGACTCCAGCACTCGTTCCCACTGCAAAGCTACAATTCACGACAAGCTAGCATGGCAAGGTATGCTGGGCCATCTTTTGATTTGAAGGTGGTCAACTGACAGAGTCCCGCCCCGGCTCCCCGCACTGTAATGGACCTGGTTTTTTAATGATTGGGCGACGCTATTTGGTTGTCGCGATTTAAGGCTACACTCAGTTGACGACTGCGATCGAGTTTGTGGGGATTGATACACACGTCTTTGTTGATGAACTCCACCACACCAGGGCAAGAAATTGGGATATGCCCTGGGAAACGGTGAGTTGGAACGACGACGCGGTGATGTCTGCAGCCTTGCTTTGCAGAATTTTCCCGCCCCTTCGACCTGTACCCAGCAATTTGGTATTACGCCGGGATTCACTTTTACTCTATTTGCTCATATTGACGAGCTGATGAGCGAAAACAGGCCGTTTCTTGCCCAGTTCCCATTTACCCCAATCGTGGAACGGCGACCAGCCAAATGGAATGACTGATTAACTCACTTCTGGCATCTCAGACCTCACTAATGCGCGGTATACGGGGCATAACAAGCTTGTCAAGCCATATCGGTGAACGCCATAGGCTTAGTTACGACGGGGACGTGATCATTAGTGGGCTAGCTAGATGGCACCTGTTCCAGAAAAGAATGTGGCCATCCCATTCTGGCTCTGCAGCCGGAGCGGGTGTCACGCCGCCAGGGCGCCGGTTATTCACTAACCTCCACTGCTGGACAAGACGCGATAACTTCGGACGTGGCTGGCCACTGGACTCCTCGAAAGGGGGACGGCGATGCTGCCGCGGCAGGGTTTCCGTCCACGTTTGATTGGCGACTGGGCCACAACTCAGGCGGGCTTGTTTCCATTCAGTGTTTGTCTGTCTTGCATTTGCGCCAAATGCTCCCTTCCTTCCCCTTTCCCCCTTTTAGTTTCCTCTTGCAAGTTTCAATAGCAATCAACCACTCACTTGGTCATTGACACGAACGGAAGGTGTGCTCGCTATTCCCAACACTCGTGGATAGCACAGCTAGTCACGCGACCTGCCCTGCTTCCTTCTCTCCATGAAATCGATAGCAAAGGCAAGAGGCTCCACGCTGACGGCATGGTGCAACATCGAAACTTCTTGCCTTACTCAGAAACGCACACTCTACCTTACCAACTCGTCACTTCATAGGAGAGACAGCGAGGGGTGATGGGCGAAGTTACTTGCTACACTACAGACACAGCCAACGCCTTTTTCTCGACCCTGAATCCAGGTTGGACCCCTTATTTGTGCCTACATGTATACAGAGAACAAGACAACATCCTACAGCATCAAGACAAACTCATCGAGCTAACGGACGCTGCTCCGGATACAAGGGAGAGCTTCAGGTACTTGGATGAGGTACTCCGTACGGCAGAGCCAATTTCAATCACATCGCGCTGTCAGCAACCCACAAACCCCAGCGAAGACCAGAATGCGGTTTGAAAAAGAGTCAACTCTTATTGAGCCTAGCTCACGGCTTGCGCAGACGCTCCTCTCCACAGGCCACAGGGCAGACTGGTCCTTTTCGACAACGCATGACCTTTCAGACCCCTGAAGCTTGTCTCTCTCACGCTAAATGAGGATAAAATGACGTCAACATACATCGTAGCTTTCTCGATGGCGCCCTAACTGCAATGGGAATCCTGGCCCTGGAAGGCCGGGGAATGGGAACCCCCTCCCAGTCCCAAAGGCGCAAATGTGCCACTGTACCAACAACCTAAGGTACCGCAGTACAGGCACCACAGGACATCGCATTGCGGCGGATTGCTGCATTTCTCCATCATTCGAGCCTCCTTTTCGCAGTACCCTACGTAGTATACGAATTCCCTTTGACACCTGGGCTACTTATCATCTTGGCTCGTAATTGGCCAACTACACAACCGATGCAGTCAAAATCAAATGCGAGCTTGGCCTCACTCCCCAATCACATTGGTTCCACAAACCGATTTCCGGGAGACCATCGTCCCAACATAACCATCACCGCGGACCTGACAGCTTTTTCTGCCCAGCGCTTGAGCGCCTTGAAAGCAGGCCATCGAGCCCCAGGCCCCATCTCGCCTGTTCCAACACTACTGTACTCCGTACCAAGGTCATCTCCTCCCAGCTAGACACTAATTGAGACGGCAAGATCTGTCAGTCGTGACTATTGTGGTAGGTACTTCGTGAGACTATCACGAGATTGACAGCGCTCTAGAAGCCTTCCTCTTCCGTCCAACCCAGCCATGCGCGTTTCCGCCGCTATTGGACCCCGGTGCGGAATTCTCAGCATACGACCAAGCCAATCATCAAGGACACGGCGTGACAACGCAGTTTTCTTACCTATCCGCATTAGTTGGCATGCAGGAGTCCGATATTTGCCAGCCACGACGGCGCTCGTGCTATATCTAAAAGGTAGGTTGCGGCAGGCACGCATGCACATTACACACACATCATCTATACCCCGCTACACGCAGCTCCCGTCTCCCGTCGCCCGTCTCCCGCCTTCAGCGTGCCACGCGGGCATCTTTCTCCGGCTTTAGTCATCATAGACCGTCCGTATACTACAGTGAACGCCAGCCCAAATATCTGCGACCAATCGTTCAGACGGACGTGGGGAGCACGCCCGTCATTCCAGCCTGAACTTGGGATGAACTGAGACGGAAGCCACCAAGTGGCGTACGAGATCTGAATTTCGGGAAGGGGAAAACGACTTCAACTTGTCTTGCAACGCGTTCCCGAGACCGCTGAACGGCGGAAGCAGCGGGGAGGCCGATATCTCGTTGCGAAACCCGCAGCGTTTGCCTTGATCTTCACTGAGACTTTCTTGTTCCTGTCCGCATGCCAAGATTTTGCCATGTCGAGATTCGAGGCCCGGAACCGACAAGACGGCAGCATCGGCACCAGGAAATGTTTGAAAGCTGATCCCCGTTTTCACGCAAGCCACAAATTCCAGCCACCCAGTGTGGCTGGATTTTACGTCTCAGCCACGAACACTCTAGACCTCAGCACATCGCGAGCTTCACTTTGGAAATCTGTCTACCGTACTAACGCCTTGGTGGATCCCTTGTCCTCGAAAACTAAAGTTCAAATTCACAGGCAGTGGTTCCCAGGCGGCCGACTGGTGTATGCGGGCTTATGAGATGGAGCACACCGCGTGGCGCATGCCCAAGTCCATAGCTGCTCGACATTTCACCCTCCTTTAGCGGATGGCACATTGACCAACCAATCAATCAGAATGCGCTGAAATTTGCTTCTGTTGCCCCGAAAAGCCTCAAACGTGTCCCGAGTCGATGGATGGGGGCCCAGGAAAGGAGTTTTGCAGTTCTTGCTGGCTAACGCTTTGTGGACAAGTTCAAGCCGCCCCCGGACGTTAGCGTCGACAGACGAAAGCTGAGACGGCAGATGAAAGTCATTTCTCTGCTTTTTCAAGACCTACAGAGTACGGAGTACGTGGACGTTTATCGTCGATCTCGATGAAAGTACCAATTGGTTTCCACTTTGCATTTTGCCGGAGACAGTTCCATTCCCTTAGCCTGAGAGGCTGGCTAGTTGCCCCCGATCATGTTCGATTAAGTTTCTGGTCTCGAATCCCAGCTGTCTGGTCGCGTCTACTGGACTTTGTTTGTGTCACTGGTAGACTCGGCCGAGCAGGAGGTGCTTTGATGGACTCCTCGCGAGAGGCTTGTTGTTTTTGAGATTGACCCGGGCTCTGCAATGTCGTAGGACCGACTACTCTGCCTTCCGCCTCGTCCTGACCCAGTAATGATCCATGGCAAATATGACCGTAGTTGACATGAATTCCTTCGTACATACTAAGAGCCAACGTCAGGAGCAGGCTCCGGACCACCCTTACACACAGGCCCACTGCAAGATAGTCTTACCTCATCTGCCCACTTCTCGAGTCCTTGTACGGATAAGGGGGGGTTCCTTCTCGAGTCTTGACGGGTAATGCTTAGCCGTAGCGCCAGGATTGAAAACTGACAGATCCTGTCCATGAGAATATGTATGATCCTCCTCTAGTGCCAGTTGAGAACCGGTTTCCCGAGAACCAGGGCAGATGGCCTAGCTGTTGTGGAATATCTACAGCAATACTCCTTGGACTAGAGCTGCCTCCTGTATTCGATGGCAGAAATAAGCCCATAGAAATTTCTACATCGTGCTCGGTATTCACTGCGCCGCGGCGTTCCAGCCATCCACCCAAACAACATTTCCACTGAACCGGCGAGGAACGCCCCACTGGGCCCGATATCAGATTGGCAAAAAGGAATCAAAAACATACAACACCAGGTATTCGCTGGTCGTCACCGACCCAACTACTAATCCGGCCCTCATTGGCTTATCTATGGGAGAGCGGACGGGATCCCGAGTTTTCCAATGGGTATGGTCGTATGTGGTCGTCTGGCGATGTAGAGTTGCTAATATCGTGACTGCGAAATCTCGTGATGCTGGTGTTGCGGCTCTACCATCCATCCCCCACAATGGATTCAGAGAGCCTTTTCAATGAAACCAACTATTTTACTGGTGTAGAAGTCCTCAACTTCAAGATCTCAGTCTTTGTGGTTTGTTTATGGTGTGGTGTTTTGGCGATGTCAATTCCTCGCTTTCTCAGCCTCATTTGTTTTCCCCGCTCTGAGCTCGAGATGACCTAGTCAATAGTGGGATGAACACACGTCACAGATTCCGTCCGAATGGTTAGAATAAACTCTATTATAGTCGTCCTTTTTGTTGAATGACAAGTTCATTAATCTTTAGCTGCTCTGTGCTATTCAACAGAAATCCACAGTTCGCGGTACATCTCTACTCCACTACTACTTGAGCAGCACGGGGACATATAATCGCACGGAACACCACACGCGAAACCAATCCAATATCATCTCAGGTAATCGGATATTTTCAAGCTGCTTTGCTTTATTGACATGATACCTGGATCATGTTCCACACTCCCGGATTGCTGTGCGCATAAAAATAACGACCTTTTAGGATGGAAGGAGATGAATTGTGTTTACGAGATGTTGCGATAACTATCAGTCAGAGTCTCGACTTTGTGATCTCCGCTCCAGGTGACTGCAACTGTATAATAGGACGGCAACCTCTAGTAAGTATCGAACCTCTAGTAAATATCGATTTATCCTGGCCATGTCATCGCAGCATCAGAGAGACTCCGATAGAAAGCTTATGATAAGTCAGCAAACCTCGACCTCTTTGAGACACACGGAAGATCGAATCATGGAAATGTGAGTACACCTACTCAGGAGGAGTCAACAGCGAACATGCAACCAAAAGCCTCCCCTCGGTTGGCTCTGGTGAAGAAGGGGTCGAGGGAAAACCCGGTTCAAGAGGGAAAACATCTATGCCAGGTTATAGGGTCCGATGGCTGTTCGAATACGAGATTTGCCATGGCGAACTTCACAAAGGCATGAACCTCTTGTCTGTTTCCCCTCGAGATACACTTTGCTACTTATGCGGGACCAACCAAATAGCCTCAAAGAGGGCTCCCGCCAGAGTGGTGTTCATCAACGTAGTACTCTCATACCAGCAATCTAGTGTCATTGAGAGATATAACTCCTCTCCATAGATGACGTGCTCTGCAACACAGATCAAGTGATGCACAGGAAAGTGATAAAACCAACACTCGAACATGTTGACTTCCTCACAAGATACATGAAAGTGATGTTCCAAGTGTATATAGAGTATAGGTAGCTTCGACCGAGGTATATTCCCAGGACAATGGCAAAGAGGAGTCACTTGGATATGTTTCTCCATAAGCCTTCCCAGTCACAGTCTTCGCCAACTCTCACGTGTCGCTTGACCGCCCTAGACCGATTTTCACTTCTCGCCGCACCGATAGAAAGAATTGGGTACCTATATGAGAGGAGAATACGATCTGGTGCTGGAGTCTGGGGCCCATACGCCTCAGTCTCGAAGGAGTCCCGAGGGTCTTGCGGCGTGGATTTTTTAGATGGTGTTATATCAGTCAAACACTCTCGATGATATATACAGTCATGAGTATTAGTATACCGTCTCGTCTTTGGAGGGCAGGCAAGCTGCAGTCTCAACATGGCGCCTTGGCTAGTTATATATTTACCACTGTCGAAACCCACGGCGGCACTCACCATCTGAAGCAAACTCTCGTGAAGCCTATATAAACTTGTACTTCTTCCAGGAAGCTGTACGCGGGACTTCGCGGATCGTACGAAAGGAGCGACTAGCGTGACGGACGAGAAGGTTACATTACCAGTAGAGGAAAGACAGACTCGTTCGCTCCGGGAAGCAGCATTCGGCCTGATAGATTTCAGTTACTCGGTGACCAAACGCGACCTCGAATGGCTTTAAATTACATGGATGAAGACTTAAGCCCGGAAACCATCAACGAGGACCTGACGTGGTTTTCCCAGCCGGCTCAGTGATATTGGAAATTGAGAAATGCGCTAAGCTGGAATGAGGAAATACTCTGACGTGACAGCGTCTCGCCAAGGTGCAAAACAATCACTGAATAGGGCAGAGAACAGTTTCACGGGCTGCTCACATGCTTTGTCCTTCAATCATCCAAGGCTGGGTCGCCTCGGAAGACCGGACGGCTAAGTTCCCCACTCTCATTGGACCGGCGCCGATCCGGATAGAACCGCGAAGCCGAACCCCCGGGAGCTCCGGGGTTCGGGTGTCCCCTGTCATACCCCACCATAGCTCCGCCAATGTACCTATTTCGACACTGGAGGATGCGGCATCGTGGATATCTAACTACGATTATATATATGCAGCATGGTAAGCGATCTTCCCATCCCGAATACAGTGCAGCAAATGAGCGTACTGATCAACGCAGCAGCAGAACGATATGACTGAGAGTGCTTGCCACTATCAAGTCAACTTCGAGAACTCAAGTTCATAATGAAAAGCACATTACAATGTCAAGTGACCCGGGAGTAGTTGTTGCGAGATTCCCTTCACTACATCTCCCAGGGGCGATGGCTTGGGCTGAATCAAACCCGTCTCTGCGGGGACTTGAAGGCTCATGGACTTATTTGAGGGAAAGTACTCGCATGCGCCTGCACCAAGTTGAATGAAATCTGCCAAGCACTCAGTAATTAAAACAGGCTGTAAGGGCAATAGTAAGTTGCATGTGAAGCACCACCAACAAGGGTGTGCATTACACGCCTTCTGATTGGCTGTGGTCAAGGAGCTTCCAGGCCTAAAGTGCGAGGCTGCGATCTTTTCCTCATAGCCTTGTGGCGCCCACTTTCACTTCTTCCAACTCACCTGTCCGATCACCCATTGATTTCCTACGCAAATAATCCGCGACCTGCTAGACGTCCCGCTGGGTATTTTTGACCGCTAAACTTACGAAATCGAGCGACCGAAACCCGACGTACGAAGCAATACGAAGATCGGGGCCTCCGATCGACGTCATCCATCATGGCCGACTCCGATGGCGAGTACCATGACATGTCTGATGATGACTTGCAGGTGACCAACGGTAGAGGCGGCGATGCGAGAAAAGGTGGAAAGAAGGGGAAAGGCGGCAATTCCAAGGCGCGATGGGAGGAGGTCAAGCGAAGTTGGGAGCAAGTCACAGAGGGCGCTGACGGCAGTCTCGCGGTCGGGGCAAGCTTGGAGGCCGAGAAGAGGAGGAGGCTGCTGAGAGACACAACGCCACTGCAGCGCGGCATTATCAGACATCTGGTGCTGGTGCTAGACATGTCATTCGCCATGACCGAGAAGGACATGCTCCCGAACCGCTATCGTGTAGCCTGGGCGTACGCGGCCGACTTCGTGAAGGAGTACTTCGAACAGAACCCAATCTCGCAGCTGGGCATCGTCGGCATGCGAGATGGCGTGGCTCTACGAATCAGCGAGATGAGCGGCAATCCGACAGACCACCTGGAGAAGCTGAAAGAATTCGAGGGCCAAGATCCGTCAGGCAACCCAAGTTTGCAGAATGCGCTTGAGATGTGTCGCGGTGCCCTTTTGTACGTGATAACGCCATTCCCTAAGCTTTACAGACAGATACTGACTCTGACCCGACAGCCACGCACCTTCCCACGGCACACGAGAAGTCCTAATAGTATTTGGCGCCCTCCTCTCCTCCGACCCGGGCGACATCCATACCACAATAGACTCCCTCATATCCGATAAAATCCGCGTTACCATCGTCGGCCTCGCGGCGCAGGTCGCCATCTGCGGAGAACTATGCACCCGCACCAACGCCGGCGACGACACGCAGTACAGCGTCTGCATGAACGATGCCCACTTCCGCGATCTCCTCCTTGCCGCCACGACCCCACCCGTTACCCGGACGGCCGCCCAGAGCACCGCTTCTCTGCTCATGATGGGCTTCCCCTCGCGCACTCTCGCGCAGGGCGAGACGACAGCCGTATGCGCCTGCCATAACAAACCCGCCCGCGAAGGCTATCTCTGCACGCGATGCGCTACCCGCGTGTGTCGTCTGCCCATCGAGTGTCCCGCCTGTAGTTTGACGCTCATCCTCTCCACCCATCTCGCGCGCTCATACCACCATCTCTTTCCGTTACGGAACTGGATCGAGGTCACCTGGGCCGCGGCCGCCAAGTCGAAAGCATGCTATTCGTGCCTCACCAACTTTCCGGAACCGCCCAAGGCCTCCAAGAAGAAGGACAAGGGCAAGGACCAAGATGGCGTGGCTACGACGACAGGGCCCGTTGCCCCGACCCCGGTGAAAGCGGCAGAGCTGAAGGGGGTTAGTGAAAGCGGACGGTACGCCTGCACGGTGTGTGATAATCACTTTTGCATCGACTGCGACGTCTACGCGCATGAGGTCATTCACAACTGCCCTGGATGCCAAAGTGACACCCGTGGGGCGGCGATGGAGGTGATTAACGAGACGAATGGGACGCATGAGCATCAAACCAATGGAACGGCTATGGTGGTGGACTCATGACACTAACAGATATATGGGAAACGGAACATAGGATGGTGGATCTTGGAGGAAGCGTGGAGCTCCCATGGAGGAGAGAGAGAGAGGGAGTAGCGCTCTGGCTAGAGTTGGCCAACACTCGGCAGTTTGCATTTGGACAAACGGATGGCAGCATCAACGGAGCACAGGGATTGGAGAAAAGAGTTCATCGGCGCAAGAGGTCCAGGTAAGGACCATGTTTTTAAATATACCTATCGTACCCTGCAGAACCCCCTCAACAAGAAGTTGGCTGGCTGAGAGATGAGCATCATGGCCTCACGTTCGACACCATCACGAGTGCGGATACGAACAATTGTGTGATACTGACATGAGGTTTAATTTGGTTTAACTACCTGTTTCTGCTTTACAAGTTTCCACGCTCGGCCTGCTCGCGCTCAATAGCCTCGAACAAGCTCTTGAAGTTACCGGCACCGAAACCCTCAAAGTGGTTGCGCTGGATAATCTCAACAAAGACGGTGGGGCGGTCCATGAGCGGCTTAGTGAAGAGCTGAAGCAGGTATCCCTGCTCGTCGTAGTCGATAAGAATGTTGAGCGCCTCAATGGTGGCGAGGTCCTCCTTGAGCTCCCAGTTGCGCTTCTCCGTCTTGAGGCGGTGGCGCATGGTGTCATAGTAGGTCGAGGGGACGTTGATGAACTCAACCCCGCGGGCGCGCATGGCCGACACGGTGGTGATGATGTCCTGGGTCAGTAGGGCAATGTGCTGGACGCCGGCGCCCGAGTTGAAGACGACGTACTCCTCGATCTGAGACTTCTTCTTGCCGGGCGCGGGTTCGTTGATGGGCATCTTGACCATGTTGTTGGCCGAGGCCATGACGATGGAGTTGAGGGCCGAGAACTCTGTGCAGATTTGCGAGTCGTCGACGGACCAGAAGCGGTGGAAGGACAGGCACTGCTCGTAAAAGGCGCAGGCCGACACCATTTCGTTCCAGGACTGGTTGCCGACGCAGTGGTCGATCCGGGCCAGGGGCACGTTGGGGAGCGTGACGGTGGCCGTGGTGGGCTTCGCGGCGCGGAAGCCCGGGAGGAAGGGACCCGAGTATCCGTTGCGGGAGATGAGCGTGTGCGTCGTGTCGCCGTAGGTGCGGATGACGGCGGTCAGGACGTTGCCGTGTTCCTTGTCCTTGAGGACGGTCGGGGGCTGAACGGCATCGGCGCCCTCTGAGACGGCCTTGTTGTATACGCCCTCGACATTGTCGACCTCGAAGGCGACGTCCTTTACGGCGTCGCCGTGCTTCTCGAGGTGAGCGTGAATCTCGCGCAGGAGCTCTCGCTCCACGTCTGAGATGGGCTCATCCTCGGGGAGGTGGGCCAGTGATCGCACCGGGGAGGTGAAGACGAAACGGACGTCGTTGTTGGCGACGGCGTACGAGGCGATATACCTGCTGCCCGTTTCGAGGCCCTTGTATGCTACGGTTTTGAAGCCGAAGAGAGTAGTGTAGTAAGCAGCGGCCTGCTTGGCGTTGCCAACCCACCAGGTTACGTGATCGTAGCCCTGGAAGTTGGGCGGCGGATGCTGTACTGCGAGTCCATCGCCGAGATCTGTTGATGCCGGGTAGGCGGCTTGCTGTGGTGGGGAGTCTGTGATAGCAGAAGGGGACATTGACACTCAGAAGTTTTCGGGGGTGACAGGACTAGGGTCAAGGAGTATGAGCGTGTGTAAGTGCGTTGTGATTCTCTGATAAGAGGCAGACAGAGTCGATGGTTAAATCTAGTGAGATTGTAGACGTTGCTCGTTGAGGAAAAGGGGGGGAACTGTCCGTGTTATGTACGTTGTACCGTCTATCCTTATATGTACCAAGACACTGACACTGTATTATCATATATGAACCTTATTCAACGACGGACTTCCGCCTTTGGAGGACAAGGACTTGAGTAATCCTGCATTCCACGCCCGCAGATTGGTGGCTCCCCGTCGCCGCATCTAACGCTTGTCACTGGCCAACCTTCCCTCCTGGGCGGGGGTAGTCTCTAGATCCTGTCTCTGTCCACAGTCCTTGCGCATAGGCAATTCGTGACGGGACGGGCGCCATCCTAGAATGGCTTCGATACCTGGCAGTAGCGTCCCGAAGTAGAAGGAGAGGTTGGCAGCGGTAAAGCGTAGAGCCGGCGGTACAGCGTTGAGGTGAGATGCCAATCGCAAGCGGAAAGGCGCCGGCCGAGTGTGATGGCCGCGGTGAGCCGCGATAAGCCGCCGCTGGCCGGCCCATGTGCGGCGCGGCTTTGACGGGTTCCCCACCCATGCTTCGGATGCTCCAGGCTATGCCCGCCATCCCGCGCAGCACCCTCCCAGATTCAACCTGGAATACAAAGAACAGGAGGGCACAGGCGACCGAGCCGCTGTTTCCGTTCATCCTGGGGAACGTCTGGGCTCTCTGCTTGTGGGATGGGTGGGGTACCCACCATGACGGCATGTGCCTTATCTCATCGCCTCTGAAACCCTTTCGTAGCCGTCGCAGTGCGGAATGTGAGCATCTGCTGCTTGGCCCCCCGCTGAAGCCGCTCGAAAGTGTTGCGTCTGATAAAGGTTGCCGTGCTGCCAGCCAATCCTGGCGGTGTTTGTCACTTTTGAGATCGGAAAAAAGCGTAGTCGGTCCATCGTCACGCATCGCAAAAAAGTTCGATTTATCTCGAATCTGTTCCTTCGACAAAGAACATCAGTATTCTTCCCAAAATTATTCAATCTCCAATTCAACACTGCAAGATGGCTTCTGTGGACCTGACTCGACGAGACGTAAACGTACTTGACAAGATCAAGGACCCCGAATCCGACCCTTCGGCGAACGTCCTCCTCGACCCATCCCTGCCCCGGGATCCTCACATCGCTGATGCTGCTGTCTACGAGCGAGTGATACAGAAGGAGCGTGAGATCATCATGTCCATGCAACAGCTCGAACTTCAATTGGCAGGATTGCGGCCGAGAACTGTATCTGAACCAGTGCAAGAGTACAAAGAACTTCTCTTGAAGCTGGACGACTTCATCGAAGCGTACCCCAACTATGCCAGCGCGAGGAACAACCGCGTACAAGCGCTGAGGCGGCTGTACGGAGACACGATGCTGTTGGCGGGAGCACCACCAACGCCGCAGCGGCTCGTACAGGCGCCCGAAAGCACTGAGTTGATCCGGTACTCAAAGATCGCCCTGGAAGATAGTGAAAAGTCTATCGCCCTCTTGACGCCGCGTACAATGTTCGGCGCCATGTCGCCTCAGGCAGCCAAGACCTTATCGCTAGCATACACGCAGCGCGCCGCCATCTACCACATGACTGCCAAGCTCGTAGAGGAGCACAGCGTACAGGTCGCGGAAGGGAGGCGAGAAGCCAGCTGGACGAAGCTTGTGTTCGAGGAGGCGGCGTCTCGGGACTTTGCCTATGGCGGAAGGTACGGCAACGAGATCGCTAAGGGTCTGGCAGTGAGCACGAATCCCACGGCGAAGCTGTGCGGGCAGATGGTCCGGGAGGCGATGAAGAAGGAGTATGGGCCGTCCTACGGCGAGTAAGGGTGTATATAGTATCAACAAGTTGTAAATGTAAGCAAAGGCGGTTGAAGCGTCGCATCTCCTCCCTTGCCAATGGCTGTCACTATGAGTGCCTATGCGGAAGCCTTGAGAAGCCCTAGACGTCTAGGTATCCGGTTGGGTTAGTCAGAGATCGTACCAGTGTACTGCTGATAGACACCGTACCTCTTCGCCGCCGCAATGGTCTCTTGTGTAGTCTTGCCCTTTTCTTTCTCCTCGCGATTGATTCTCGTCGCAGCGGCACCAAGTCCAATCACCAAGGCAAAGATGGGGTCCGCGACCTTGGAGATGATATACGCAGGTGGAGGAGCCATGGTGTGTGTTTGCGTATTTTCGTCGTCGTCGTCGCGGGAGGTCGCGTCGTTCGTGGGGCGTGGTAAAGCTAGGCTGTTGTTGAAATGGATCGGAGGAAGTTCGCGATGAGCTCCGTGGCCAGCTTGGAAAGTGGAGCAGACTGACCGCCGTACGGGCACGGTACCTGGGTACCAGTGGCCCGTCCAGTAGAGCTCCAGCGCGGACGCTGGTCAGTGGAAGCGTCCTTCCACTGCCAACGGCCCCCACTTGCAGCACCACCCACCACCAGTGATTCGCCTATTCCCCAGTGAAATTTCGACCACGTGACCGGGCACATGCTTAGGTCCCTCCCTCCCACGGATCAATTTTGAAATTTCCTCTAGGTTATCAAATCCAGGATCTCACGTCGCAGCAACTTTCACCAACCGCCCAGTACGCCCAGCACCCACCGACAGCGCAGGTCAAAATGAAGTTCCTCAAGGTCGGCAGAGTCGCCATCATCACCCACGGCCGTTACGCCGGCAAGAAGGTACGATTATATACGAAAATTCTCGAGAAAGCCTACCCCGTCGCAGTACTATTTTCAACCCCGACTTCGCGAGAAGGAGGGGCGCGGATGAAGGTCACCCAACATCGATGTCGAGGAGTGTGAAAGTGTTTGGCCAGGGAACTATGGGAAGGAAATTATGGCGACGACTATACGAAACGATTCCGAATTGCGAAAAGAACAGGAGGAAACACCGATCCGACCAAACACTTTTTACACTCTTCGAGCGTCCGATATTTTGGGTTGAGGGCATCCACGAAATTTACTGCGGAGGACAATGGTGGATTGTGTTGGGGCACTTGCCCACACATACACATCCAATAATCCCGAGCGATTGCTAACGTTCCTCTCTGCAGGTCGTCATCATCCAGCCTGTCGACTCTGGCAACAAGGCTCACCCCTTCGGCCACGCCCTGGTCGCCGGCATCGAGCGCTACCCCTCCAAGATCACCCGCCGCATGTCCAAGACCCGCCAGGAGAAGCGCAACAAGATCAAGCCCTTCGTCAAGCTTGTCAACTACAACCACTTGATGCCCACCCGCTACACTCTCGAGCTCGAGGGCCTCAAGGGCGTCGTCAGCAACGACACCTTCAAGGAGGTCACCCAGCGTGAGGATGCCAAGAAGCAGGTGAAGAAGGTTCTGGAGGAGCGTTACACGAGCGGAAAGAACAGATGGTTCTTCACGCCTCTGAGTATGTCACTCTCTCTCCTCACATCCAACGTCTGCCATCTTTCCTCCGGGGGCTCCCTTCCCCGCGAGGCAGAGGCTATGCGTCGGCTACTGGCAATTGGTACATGTACTAATACCAAGCACAGGATTTTAAAGGACAAACCGTTTTCTGCAATCGTCAACAGGTCGGGGAGTTGGGCTGGCTTGTAAAGAGCATCAATTGGCATCTGAGGTCCTCGGTTTAAGGGCTCCCAATGAGAAACCATTGAAATCCAAGACGTTTGCCCTGTGATACCTCAACAAACTGGAAAAAATGCCGCCGCGCTGCTGCTGTGACCGGAAGAGTGATAGACACAAAAGAAGTGAGAGTAAAAAGGGGTCAAGGGTCTATGATGACTGATGGGTATGATTCAGCCCTCGGCCGTGGGATGGCCATGATCAATGGAACATGAAATAAGCAAGTCAAACCAACTTTTCCAGCCAAATCGAGTCGTGATAGTTGCTATGGTCCCTACCTAGGTATGCTGAGTGCTTTCAATTTCATGTCATCAATACTCGGCAGCCCACCGGCTCAGTTGCGGTGCGACCCACATAACTTGTTGCACAAAATATTGTAACCCACCCACACAACCCTCTATTACAAGCCAAGACCGTTTTGCTGAAACCACGGCCCACGTTAGATGTTGAGACCATCGCCGTTTAGATTGAGCGCTCTTGTAGTGTGATGTTGTTTTCTGGCCTGATGCATCATAATTGCTGAGGGCGACAGCTACAAGCTAGAAACACTCTTACTGGCCGAAGCTTCTTTTCCATTCGCGAACTCAAGTTTGGCATGCCTAGTAAGTGGTCTCAAGTGAGCCGAGTCGATTTGTGTTTCTACACCATGGGCATCCAAGTTTCGAACCCCGCGCACATCGCCTCATATCACCAGTCATTTCGTTGCGGAATACCGCCGTCCTTTGCTTTAAGCTTTGTGTATCATTGCGTACGTACATGTCTATATCCTCCTCCGTCTAGAGTACATCAGATTAGAACTTCATGATGCAAGCTATGCAACCTGGTCCCTTTTGCGCTCTGCGCCGTTGCTCTATAGCTGTACACGGGTGTAACTCCCCAGTCAAACAAAAGTCGGTTCCGTTTTCCGGATTAAAAAAGGAAGAAAAAGAAAAAAAAAGGTCAACAGTGAACATGGGTGAAAGGAAGTTCGTAATATGTACTCAGAACAGGGTAATCGTCGCGTAGAGAGGGTTTGGTATCATCACATCTCTACGCCCACAAATAGGAAACTGACAGGCCAAAGAAAAGATGCTATCGCCTTCTATCCCATAACCTATGCCCTGCTGCTGCCGAAGTGGCTGTTGACCTCGTTGATGAGGTTGTGGGGGTCGTACTCGGGAGCGTACGTCGGTGCCAGGCCGCCAAGCATGGTGAAGAGCACGAAGGCGGAGAACACAATGATGGTAAGCTTGCGAAGAATCGGCTTGCGCTGGCCGAACTCGGCCCACTGGCGACCGCCCTCACCCATGTAGCCCTTGATCTGCTCAAAGCCGAGCTTGTAGTAGACCATGCCACCGAGGGCGATGCTGTATCCGAAGAACTGGAGACCAGAGACCTGGGTGCCCCAAATGGCCATGGAGGCGGCAACCAGCATGACGTCCTTGAGGACACCGCAGAGAGTCAGGACCAGGGAAGAGGTCTTGCCGATCTGAAAATAGTGTTAGTAACGGAGATTGGGAGATCTTGAAGGCATCAAAACTTACCAAAAAGACGACAGAGACGTTCAGCAGGAAGGCGCAGAGACCGTTCAAGAAGAAAGTGAACAGGCCAACGTTGTACACCTGGTCCATGGTGACCTTGGGAATCTCCCAAATGAGAGCAACAGCCAAGTTCATGACAGCGCAGATAGGAGCGAAGTAGTAGACGGAAACGAGGGGGTCCATCTTGTAGTCGGCAGAGCTGAGCAGGCGCTGGACCATGGTCAAACGCAGCGCCTCGAAGATGACACCACCGATCTGGAAGATGACACCAATCCAGACGAACTTGATCTCACCAATGGAAGCAATGATGACACCAACGACGATAACGGAGACGTTCAGGAAGACCTTTAGGTTGGGCGTGGAAACACCAAGGGCCCATCCAGAGAGGAGGACAGCGACGGGGGTCGTAGCCTTGAGCATCTGGATGAAAGCAACCGAGAGGTACAGGTAGGTCAAGTTACCGCAGATCAAGCTCAAGCTGAAGAAGACACCGATAGGCACGATGGCACGCACGTAGACACGGCCAGTCATCTTGACCGACTTGCGTCCGTCGAGAACGTGAGTCCAGCGAGCGAGGATCTGGGTCATGATGGTCGCGAAAGTCAAGTGGTAGGTCGTCAGAATAACCGGGTAGCCTGTAGTTAATTAGCATCCTGCCTAGAGCTCCAAGCTGTCGTCTCGATCGGCTTACGGAAGTTGAGGGTGTCGAGAATCCATTTGTTGAACAGAATGACGGATGAGGACAGCGAGATCCAGACACTGCGAGAGGATTGGGTCAGCCAACTTTCGCAACAGCGGAAAATCGAGGTTCTAGTTTCTTACATGACGTAGAGAGCGGGATGGATCTGAGGACCCTTGGATTGAGGAGACGACTTCTCGGCGTCCTGGTTCGTGGTAGGCAGGATAGAGCCGTTCTCTCCACGAGGAACCTCGCCTGAAACGCGCGTCTTCTCGTCGGCACCCATTGTGACGGTTTGGTGTGCGGAATGGGGAAAAGGGTGTAGGGGACGAGTGGTTGAGGTAGGCGGAGGATTGATTGAGGTCGTCGGTAGCGGCGGTTGATGTTGATGTAGGAGCAAGTTGATACAGCTCGGCAGCAAAAAAAGACGAGACGCGCAAAAACGAGAGCGAGCGAGTGGACGGGACGGCCAAGCAACTCGTTAAAGGTGTCGTGGGGTAGGCGACAGGTGCTTTAACAGTATGCAATGGGGGGTCCCAAAGTTAGACGTTAACGGACACCTGTGGTGGTACTTGAGCCGGTTCAAACCTTGGAATGGGGCTGAGCACGGCTTTCTGAATCTGTAACTTGTGGTGAAGGAAGAGGGAGAATCGAAAGAAAAAGCCGAAAGCAGGAAGCTTTTGACAACCACGACCGTACAGGAACAGTTTAATAGAGGTCTGGAAAAAGAGGACAGCTGCTGCTTGCAGGGTGTTGGAAAGGGAAAGGGGAAGAAGGAAGAGAAAAAAGAGGAAGGGGGGTGGGTAGGCGAGGTTGTAGTGCAGCAAAGATATGGATGCCCCCCGGCAATTAGCAGCGATGGGCGTGAGAGAAAAAAAAATCGATTTCTTCGTCTGTAGTGTATTCGTAGGTATTTCCCGCCCCTCTCTCTCTTTCCTTTGCCTTTTCCTTTCCCTTCTCTATGGTGTGTTTACCGCATACTGTGTGGCAGGTACGTGTGTAGTTGCGTAGGTACCCTCTCTCTCCTTGCTCCTGCTCTTGTTCTGGAAATTGAGGTTCACGTTGACGCGATCAAGCCCGCCCAATCCAGGATCCGGCAGGCGATGTACAGTCACGGATACTTGGTAGAGTGGAGCTTTCTACCCGCCAGCAGGTGTTGGCACCTTGGCCGGAGCGCAGCCCGCATGTACCTGGTACAGGGAGACGACACCCAGGTCCCACTCTGCAACTGTGAGGGAGAGAGCAGGATGGAGGGGGCCACTTGTCCAGACAGAGACTCCAGACTCCCAGCGTCGGCCGTGGCAAGCGTGGGTGCGACTGCGTGGTACGCCACCCTCTCAGGGGCTCCGATGGGACTAATATTAGTGCTGCCAATCTTGGATAGGGGCCGCAAATCAAGCTCTGCCCGCTCACCCACGTTCTGGTCCTTGGCATCTCACCAACGACGTGACTAAGGCAAGGTACCACGGCACCTGGCTCCTCTCTTTTTCTCACCTCAGAACCTTGAAGTATTACAGTGGGTGAGGCTTGACTCTTGAGCAGGTCGGACGACGGCAATGGCGCTGCAGATAGAGTTAGGAAGGTCGTTTCTGCCATGGCTCAGCATAGCAAGAGCTTTGAAGATCAACCGAGTCTTGGTACCAGACCTGAGAAGCGATACTTGACTCTTGTCAATGAACCCTCATGAAAGTGATCCGCTTCCTATGGATACCTTCAAAAGCACTACAACAACCTAGTCCTAATGGGACTCGAGAGCGGTATATTGTGGCAGGCACTCGATATTACATTGGACTGCATCTCATGCAGCTCTTGTCCCCTTGGCCGATATGTACATGTAGCCGTACCTTGCAGCCAATCCGGCCGTTTACAGATCCAGTACTCCGTACCATCACTAACATTATCCATACGTGCTATTCAACCCCCATGGTGCTAGGTATTTGCTGCTGTGCTAGGCGAAAAGAGGCTCTTACTGTTGGTTAAGAGAATTGGATGATTGCTCCGAAAGGGGGGCCAAGCCACCCCGGCCTCGCCTCAGTCTTGCAGTCTCACACATCGGGCCTTGACCTTACAGCCGCAGCTAAGGCAGGTCTCGGTCAGGTCTTGTCACCAGGGTCCAAATGACATCTCAATGCGTTTGTCACTTGTGGCCGTAGGCTGTAGCATAGTTATCGTCAAGTCTATCTTTAAGGCCATGGTCTCTGGCCATGTGGTAAACTAGGCCACCTCTAAACTCTGGAACTGGCACGCATTCTTAGAGCCGGTAACCGTGGGGTATACATACTGCCCTATATGACTATATGACTATATTTGGTGACATGAGCTGTGTATCTGAGATCTAGACGCACTATCTCTCAACGCTGCAATTTAAACTGGTCTTAAAAATAAGCTAGAAGCCGCAGGAGAAAAGAAGAAAAGAAACTTGCTTCCCTTGGAGGGAGGCTCATGCATTAGCACCATCCATAGGTTAGCAAAAGTAAAGTAGTCCATACTGCTTCTGTCCGTCTTCTACGGCGAGCACTAACTTGTTGCTCTAACAAGATGGCATCATTCCTACTATGGGCACCTTCCTCGGCTGTAATTAATGTCAGACTCGCGCTTGCTTTACTGGTTACATACCCTTCTCGAACACGTGCGGACGCGGTTCAACACCCCGTCATCCTGCCTTCCGTCACTATCCGTATCAGTCGGTGCTTCCTTCTCGCGAGGTGCCACGCTGCCTTCCAGGTTTGCGCGGGTAAGACCGCTTCGGATGGGATGCCGCCTGTAGTCGCACCTTCCATGTCACTTGCGTTTTCACATCTCCAAGTCTCAGACCCCCAAGACGTTCTCTTCTCTTCCCGAGTCCTTCACCCTGTGAGGGACCTTGACACCTGGACTATCGCGCTCTATACGAACAAGGTCCCCGAGGCACCCGGCCAAGTTTGTCGCTTGTACTCTGTACATGCAACTCAGCCATTCCCGTTTCCTATCATCTGCATCCAAGTTGACTGCCCTTTCATCCCACGAGTCGCGAGCTGGTGGGACCCTAGGATTTTTCACTTGCGGATACCTTACCCAACCTAGACTTTGGATTGTCCTACGACTGACAAGCACAGCCCTCGCTCTTGTTCACGGCTCTTGTTCTCGTCGCCTCCAAGGACCGAATCCGTCGACGTGTCGCTCATCAGTGCGCCAAATTGGTGATGAATTGTTCCGGAAAGCGGAATCCGGGACGTGGGTGCTGGTCCCTGGGTCGCGGCTCCAAGCTGCCCCTGGTCCTCCCATCGCCCTACTCTGAAAGATGGGACGCCATCTTCGCCATGCCACGCCTTGAGGCGCCTTTCGGGTTTACTCGGACAGATGGCAGATCGTGGACACCGGCTGCTCGGGTCCTTTGTGTTCGGGAGGCTGAAGCCTGCTCGCCTCACGTCCTTCATGCTTTCGGACATCATCTCTCGGCCCCGAAGAGTTCATTCCAACTTCTGCGTCTAGCCAGGTCTCACTTCAGCCTTACTCATCCTGCCTCTTGCGTGGCTGCCACACTCGCCGTACCAAATCCTTCCTCAGTACGACTATGTCCAAACTCAACGGTGACGAGTGCCGTGTGGCATGTAACAAGTGGCATGTGGAACGACAATTCAGATACCGGAGCCGACAACTAAGCCTCGACTCAACACGCCGCTTCTGCAAAACCAAACCATCGATACGTGGTACACTCAGAAAGCTTCGAGTTTGTGTTTGCGACAAGGCTGCGACTTTTCATCTTGGAAAGGCTGACATAGCTGGGGATTGTCAATCTCTCATTGGGTCCGTCCGTCTGGATCTATTTAATGGGACATGCATCTTGTCTTGCATCTCCTTGATGTTGCTATTTGTGTTTTTTGGTCGCAGGGTTGCAGCTTGCTGTCCTACATTAACCCGTGACCTGTGTATACAGCACCAGGTATCCGAATGTTCATCAGACGAAAGTATTTACCTCCAGGCCGCTCGATGCTACACATCCGTACTCGCTCGACGAGTGAGTGATCACAGCCTCGATACCAAGCATTCTGTCAGCCAAAGTCTCCGCTGCAATTCTCCAGCTGGGGCTGCTGTTATTAGAAACTCAGTGTTTGGAGTGCTTCCCTGAATCGGCGGCTGATCAATTCGACATTCATGCGGTGCCCCGAAACTGGCCAGGCTGATCTACAAGAGGCCCAGTTTGTCTGTTTCAGAATGTTGATGAGATGGGTCCCGTACCCCTGTGCCGGCTGCCGGGCAGGCATTCCAGCAAATGTCTTGTTCGGGGGAGAGGCCGTCTTTCGATACTGGAGTACGGAGTATGGAGGTGGTGCTGGGGACGACACGCGTGCTCTAATCCACGCACACAGAGATGCCTGCCAAATGGACCACTTGCCAACTGACGGACCGATGGTCAACATTTGGTGATCGACTTTCACAGCCTCCTTTGCTGCTCCGCAAATGAGAGGCAGGGGCAATCCCACATTGGGATGGAAACGTCAATCGCCAACAACCAAAGCTGGCAAGGGATCCAGAACGACGTCTGTTTGTAACAACTACCGACGGATCGAAATTAAGTCGTGCTGCTCCATCAACAGTCCAACGCGGACCCAGCGGTGACGACAACAGATCAGGAGTGAAGAGAGAGCACGGGGAGATTTCCCAGATTGCTAGATGTTCATACGGTGGCACCTGGCCCGAGTGCCACCTGTCTCCCAGTCCCTTGCACCGTTTTGCCCTGGCTCATCTTATTTCCTTAGCACACAAAGCACAACGAGTTCGCTGGCTCCGTGGGGGCAGCACGGGCATTGGCAAGGCGAGAAGAAATAAGAAAGACCAACTTCAAATCTCTTGAGACGACGATCGCTGAGTGAAAGGCGAGATGCAGACCACCTCGCACCAGCGCGGGAAACAACGATATCCCTGCTCGCATCTTGATTGGCGATGCACGAAGTTGATGAAAATGAGCAGATGGAACATGGGCTTTTGCAAGCAGGCGATTGGAGCGCCCCATCCCGCTAGGATAAAGTGCGGGTAGAGGCGACGGGACACTGGATCACAAAACTGTTGGCGTCCCTTTTCGGCTTGTCTCACTGGCGCAGAAGCAAAAGCAGCTTGAGGCGCGCCGGCATGAACGTGGTCCAAAACGTCGACGAATATCACGTTTCGGCTCTTTGTACTTATTCGTACGGAGCAAAGGTACGGTTGGGTATCTGTCTGCGACTCAGGCTCGGCCTTGGACGCGTACCCGACTCATGGAGAACCGCCGAGTTGTCGCCAGGCCGAAACGATTCACAACAAGCCCTGGTGTCATTGCTGCTGTGCGGGACAACAAATTGAACAAATTGAGGCAAGTTTGTTTTGCTGCTTTGCATGACGGCTTCTTGACGAGCTGCAGCGTGCCCACGGAGGTGGGATTGCGCTCATTTTATGAGATTACACTGAGCAGGGTTCCGTTATCGAAGACATCGCAACTCGGCTTAGGGCTCTCCAATCTAGACAATCTCAGAGAAGGCGGGCTGCAACAGGTCCAGACTACCCTACCTTAGGCGCCCCGTACTTCATGTCACCATGGAGGCTCTGTAGCACGCGAATCAAACCACAGAGAAACGTGGTCGACCATCTGGCTAATGTCCGAGAGATAGCCAAGATGAGTCGAATCCTTCCCCGGCCAACCATACCAACTTGGTTGGTCAAACCCCACGGTCCACGGAAGGATGACAATGTGGCGGGAGCGGCAGCGGCAGCGGCAACGGTAGGTACACAGACGCACACGAAAACAATGACAGGTGAAGGCTTGAAGCCCCCCAAGTCTGAGAGTTTGAGCGAAATGACGGACGGCAGCTGCCCGACTGGGAAATGGAGGCGAAAACAACGTGTGAATGCAGATTGACAGTGGGTTTTGAGTCGAATTATCAAAATTATTAGCGCAAGCCACATCGAAGGTCCAACCCACTTCCGAATGGCGGAGAGATTGGCACGCCACGCCAGCATCTGCCATCCGGGAACTGGCAGTTCACGGGTCAGAGAAGCGCCGCTCATTGCCAGGACGGTACAATATGGATTCAGCCAAACGCCTCTTTGGGCAACGACCGAAGTTGTCCAAGACTAGGAGTTCAGAACAACAACGAGTTAGCCTGAAGAGGATCGTGAACTTCAGGAGCCAGCATAGGATCTGCGTTGCCGGGAGTCCGGGACAGGGTAAGGAGCGGCAGCGGGCAGCAAAGCCAGCACCAACAGCGTCCGACAAACTGATGGGCAATTGACCATTCGGAAGCGTTGCTTTGACGGCAGGACCAGGGACCCTGCAGAGGACGAGAGAGAGGCACATATGGTTGCTGTCGATGCCCTTGGGCCTTTCTGATCCCTCTGTTCTGGTTTGCCGGCAGCTGATGAAGGTGCAGCATCTCGACGGAACCAACGCACTGTATCCCCGACGGGAGGCGGTCAACAAGAGACGTGCAGATAGGTTACCATTGCCTTGGCGGTCTGTCACCGTCTACTGCGGTAGTGTGTGAAAAGGTGGGTGGGTGTTCACTGGTGGGTGCTGCGGCGCGCGAACGGTGCGTCGAGGCCGAATTAGACTGGAGATTTTCATCAATCAGAATGAGGAACAGCAGCCGTGAGGTGTGTGTTTCCGAGTTTCGCGACAACCTTTCTACGACTACGGGTACGCTCGACATAGATTCGAGATTGGGTTGTGAACCTTGCGGGCCCTTCCCTGTGCCTGTCTGTCGTTGATTACACTACGGACGATCTGCATGTTTGAAAGTCAATCTCTTCGAGGTGTCAAATTGGTAGGGTGACTTGGCTAATAAGTCTGTCGCAGTCTGCTATGCTTCTTCCCGTCATGCCTGCCCGCCTGTATCCTTTGTTGTTACTTTGTTATGAGTCTCTGCCCGCTGCTAGTATCCATACTTACTTGTGTCTATGATGGAGGGGTTACAACTTGCGGACCTATTGAGGGTGGATCATGAACTGTTCCTCTTGGGTTCTTCTACAGCCAAGCACCAACCCCTACTAGTGTATTGGAACGGGTTGACGGGTGCGTGTACGTACGTGGTTAATGGGCACCTATGGGGGGAGGGGACAAGGAAAAAATGGGAAAGTAGGGAACGTGTCCTCGAGTCCTTGGGGAAGCGAAGGCGAGTTTGCCTCCACATCTCTCTCCATTTCCCGGTTTCCAGACCGCACAAACGAGGACTGTGGATAGGAGGAACAGGACAAACCAGGCCAGGCCAGACCAGACCCAGGTGGATGGAGGGTGTATGGCCCATATCTTTCTTCCATCCCACCTTTGAACCTCAACACGGGCCTGATCTCGGATCATACTCACGCTCGCGGCTCACGTCTATAATGCCTCACTTTTTTGGGACCGTTGACGGCTGATTCGGGCTTTCAGCCCATGTCTCTCGAGGCTCGGTCTCACTAAATCTCCCTACGTACGAGTGGTACGGTCATGATCATATGGCTCAGTGCCTTTGCATCGCGAGAAAGCAAGAAGAAACCCCACCCGTCTCTTATGATGTCGTCTGCGAAGCCAATTACAGGCAGCCCACACTCTCAACTCTGTAACCCGCCGTGGGTCGCAGGAACTTACCCAGGCCCCGGTGCCGCTATTGGAGACACTCGGAGACTGAAATCAGTGGTATGCGGTATGTGTATCCGGATGGCCTGTCTTTTAAACGGTGCGTGATGGTGGACAAGCTTCTGGCAGCTCCACTGTGGTGGCTGTAACATTGGCATCCGTCGTCCTCTCGAGCAAGAGTCTCAGCTTTCAAGTGAGTCGAGAGTCTCCCCCTGTATTACTGTGTAAGGCTAGTGGTGAGCATACGGCCGCCGCATCTTTCTTCTTTCTCCCGCTCCCACATGAAAAATGGAAATGCCCAGACTTCCAGAGTCCAGAGGTTGGGGGTTCATATGAGCAAGGGGGGCAATGGGAAGGAAGCAAGCAAGGCAAGGCAGGCAAGCGTGTGGCGAGCCAGCACGAGGGCCCGGCCTGGGGTTGCGGTTCGCTGCCGTCCGCGCCGCCCGTCGACGTTCCCGTTCCAGTTTTGCTGTGCAGGCCAGGGCCTAGACCCCTGTGAGATGGAGAAGGAGAAGGAGAAGGAGACTGAGGTGGTCTGTCTTGGCTCATGACGGACGAGGGAGCGAACTTGAGCCTGGGTGCGGGCTGTCATCTGCGGATAGACAGAGTGCGGCACGGGTAGTGAGAGGCCTGAGTCTGTTCCGTGGATGAGATAATGGGCAAATGCTAGCATGGTCATTCGGCGGCGGTTGCCACGAGGCAAGGAGAGTTTCTGTCAAATAAGACCTTGTCTCAAATTGTCGGGACAAGATGCGCCGGGACGTAGGAAACGATTTTGTTATACATAGAGACGGGATGCACACGCGCTTGGCCGCTTGCTTTACTTGAGAGCCTCGTTTGGTGACAGCG